GCAGTTTTCACCGATGTATTGCTGGAAATCTAACTTAAAATATAGGCTCCATTTTAACACAGGAAAATGTCTTGTGGGAAAAGTGGGCGTAGCGTCACCTATACATACTGAATTTTTACACCGCATATCTCTGAAATTATTTGCGGTGGTGTATGTATATGAAATGAGTTCCAAGCTCATGTAGAAAACTGAATGAGGGGTGCAACAACACAAACAACAATAGCGCAAATTTGTGTTATTTCCCAATTGAATGTGAAATAACACAAATTATCCTTATTTCATTTCTCGTTGAGCAATAAGACCAACTTTTAAACTTTACATAGGTTGCATTTGACAAAAAGTAGTACACGAACAAGTTAAATGGATGGATTTGTAAGTATACAATTTTGAAAGTGCCCAGCGTCCCAGCGGTCCCGTGCCACTCGCGCCGCGCCGCGTTCGACGTCGCGCTCGCGTTTAGAAAAAAGAATAATAATAAAATGACACTAGTTCGCTTCCGAAACTGCTTTTTAATGGCCAAGTAATTGGAATTATTGCGTATGGTGTTATTGCACCCCACCCATAGCGGAATTATACCAGGTGAAGTAAATGGAGTGAGAAGGAAGATTTCTACACTGCCTTATTTGAGAATTTGCCTATACAATTTTACTATAAGGCAGCCGAATATCAGAAAATAAAGCGAGAAAGCTGTTTTAATACTTCACCTGTATATTGCGCTATACATCCCACCTGCTTGTACCGAGTATACGTTCCTAGGGATAAAACGATACGAGAAAATACAAGTCCATACCCGATACTTTTCGTTCGATACCAAGTAATTTTAGTATCGATACTTTTGAACCCAGTACTGAGTAGGTATCGAAAAACAATAAGTGCCTTGTTCTTCATGGCTGCCTAATTGCCAGCGAAAACCACGCGAAGGCGACAAAGTCGATAAAATGCAAAAAATATACCCTCCAGTTGCTCCACCAAAGTCGATATAATGCGACGTATACAAGGCCGAACTCTTCGAATGGAAGAGTAAACTGGATGAATGGCTCATTACAGACGTTTCAACTCGATGTTAAACTCACTGAGTAACTTTACTGGACCCCGTTCACATTATAATAATACCTAAAGGAATATACTTTCGCTTAACACGCATGAGAACACCTTGAATAAAATGCAACAAAATACGCGTGGTTGTAAAAGACTAGCGGAAAATACTAAAGGCGTGAAGTCTAGCTCTGTTATTGAAGAAAAGAAAGAGAGCCCCACAGAGTTCATTACAAAAAAAAATGTAATCATGGATCACACGATTTGTACATTTGCACAGATTTGGACATTTTGACAGTTATCTATGGAGTGTGGTTATTTGAATTTTTTTTACTGAGCTGAACTCATTTTCGATCAACTCAGATAACCGTCAACTTATGGCTTAAAAAAATTATATAACTTATTTAGTTCATACGGAATACCTTCATAGCCAAAAGTATCGATATGAGTAGGTATCGATACTTTAGATCCGATATTTTTCAGATATCGATACTTTTTTTCGATACTACTTCCAAGTAAAAGTATCGATACCTGCAAGGCATCGTTTCATCCCTATACGTTCCAATTTAGAAGTCTGAGAGTACGTACAATTTTACATCACACAAACGGCAATAACGCAAAATTTGCTTTATTTCACTTTTAAATGGGAAATAATAACAAAATCTGAGTTTTGCTTTATTTCCAATAAAGGTTGGAAATAAAACCAATTTTGCCTTATTTCCCATTGCTTATTTATACTATTTGCAAAAAAAAAAAACAGTTTACTGCCAGAAGGAAAAATAACTTTGTTTATTCCAAAAATACAATTGAACCAAGGTACATTGAACAGGTAGTATCAGTAGAGCAGCTGATTTGATTTATTTTCAAATTATTTGGTCTCGAAAATGTCAAATATTTTTAATTTTTTCTCACGAAAATTATAACTTGTTAAAGTCCATTTGCTTGTGAAACCTTTTTCCATACAAAACAAGCGATAGAATAGCAGCTTTGGAACGTTCGCCCAACTCGGCAGCACGACCGCTGATTACTGGGCCTTGCAAAGGATGGATCAATGCTTCGAGAAGCAAACAAATTTACTAGGAAAGAAAGTTGCATCAATTTTTATTTTTTCCAATTTCAATTTTTTATTTTTTATAATTTTTTGTATTTCACATGGCACGCTTTGATTTAGAAAAAAAAATTCAGAACAGTTGTTCACACTTTCGATACCAGAAGCAACAACATAATACACGCAAATGTTGTTTTTGCTCTACTGATACTACCTGTTTAATGTGCCTTGAATTGAACCAAGGCATAACATGGTAGAAGTGATTTCGACATTTCTATCTTTTGAACTGCGACTGAAATGTCAACTCTTAACCCAATACCATCGTACAGTTCCATAAGTAAAGTAACTCTTCTTCTTACCGTTTTTTCTGGCAGGCTGTAGGTGTGTTTTTGGCAGGCTGTAGGTGTGTTTTTGGTTATTGTATTGGTGTTTTTGGTTCAGTGTGTTAGTGTATTTTGAATAAATTGTAATAGAAATAAATGAAATTGTAATAGAATGAAAGAAATTGTAAAAGATAAGAGCACATGCCAAAAAACAGGTGATCTCAGCTGTAGGCATATTTTGGCAATCAGCTGATAGTGTTTTTACTTATGAAACTGTACGATGCCCTATACTATTCAACATTTGGTTTTTATATACATTTTCAATTGTGAGCTGTGCGACTGATTTTAAATACATAATAAAATGAAAAGGAATTGCGAGCGGTGCATTGTGTCTGGACAACAACCTTGTGCGTTATTTTAAACCTTGGCATTGTCAAGTGAAGCGACAATGGTGGGCAAATTGCTGCGATGTTTCATTAGGAGAATCCTCACGTGTGGTCGTGACTTTATTTGTTGCATATCGCAGCCGAGTATTTCTAAGTGGACGCGTTTGGTCACAGGTGCAGGATTTATCATACCGAATATGAAAAGAAAATCTCCCTTTCATATACATACATGGATAGGCCAAATTTCAAATAGTGGTCTGATAAAACCTAAACCAGTATTGCTTGTTGATATAAAGAAACTGAAAGTAATTTTTAACAAATTTAATGGAAAGGAAATTTCGAATAGCAAAAATTTAATAGCTAAATTATTGAAGTTCAGTTCTGATGTAAATTTAGAAGAATCAAACTTTTTTTAATGTCTAATATACTTTAGAATTAAGTATTTCAATAAAGAATAAATGCTCAAAAACATTGGTATAGTAAAAGCAAGAAAATTGTCAAAACGGTTTTATAAATGAGTGTGTTTCATTTAGTGTGTAATTTTGTGTAAGTATGCATTTCCACATTTAAATTAAACCGAAAATTCAATAAATAAAATGAAGCTGATTCTAATGAGATTTTAATATTTTCATATTTACAAAAACTTTCATTTCAAAGATGTTGAGTTCTATCAAATATAGTAAATGCATAACAAAGGGTTAATTTCTTTGTTTACATTTTTTGACATTACAGTCAGGTATGAGAGAGCTCGACTGAATTGTGACTTCTACCTTGTTGAATATGCCTTGAATTGAACCGAGGCGCATTGAACAGGAAATATCAGTATAGCAGCTGACTTGATTTTTCTCAAATTATTCGTTCTCGAAAATTTCAAATATTTTTATTTCTTCTCACAAAAATTCTAAGTTGTTAAAATCTATATGCATGTGAAACCTTTTTCCATACAAAACTAGCGATTGAATAGCAGCTTTTGGAACGCTCGCCCAACTCAGCAGCACAACCGCTGATTACTGGGCCTGGCACAGGATGGATCAATGCTTCGAGAAGCGAACCAATTTACTAAGAAAGAAATTTGCAACAATTTTCATTTTTTCAATTTGAATTTATCTTTTTTTGTATTTCACATGGCACGCTTTGATGTAGAAGAAAAAAATCAGAACAGTTTTTGACACTTTCGATACCAGAGGCAACAATAAAATACAGGCAAATGTTGTTTTTGCTCAAATGCTCTAAACCTGTTTGATAGGCCTTGAATTAAAAAAAGTGATATATGAAGAAAGTAATATTCACAAAATATTTTTTACTTATGAAAAGTCTAACCAAATATAGGGAGAGCATCGTCTTTAAAAACTGCTCGTCATATTGGACATAGCGCTTTTGTATGAATTTATCTACATGATTTTTAATATGTTAAAAACATTGCTGGAAAACCTTAAAATGTTTGGAACTATGTCGCAATAAACAGATAAAGTAATAAAACGGCTTTCTCGCTTTATTTTCTGACATTCGGCTGCCTTATGGTCAAATTTTATAGGCAAATTTTCAAATAAGGCAATGGCACCTGGTAAATTCCACTATGGGTGGGATGCATGCAATAACACCATACACAATTATTCCCATTACTTGGACATTAAACAGCAGTTTCAGAAGTGAATAGCGTTGTTTTATTATTTTTCTAAACGATTATAATGCCACCAGGGCATAATTGCAAAGGAGGGGTGGGAGCGGGGGACGCGAGCGCGAACGCGGACCGCCGCGACGCTGGGCACTTTCAAAATTGTATACTTACAAATCCGTCCATTTAACTTGTTCATGTCAAATGTAACTGGGTGACTACCTATGTGCACTATTTTTCTGTATTACTCAATTGTTAAGTTTAGAATTTTGGCAACGAGAAATGGAATAAAGCAAATGTGTGCTATTTCACAATCAATTGGGAAACAACACAAATTTGCATTATTGCGGTTTGTGTTATTTCACCCCCTTTCGCACCACATGTTCGCTTCGTCTGCGTAAATGAAATCCACAGTTCGGATAGTGAAGCAAGTGATGCTAAAGCAAAAATTTCAACTGAAGATAAAATTCAGAACAATATTCTCTGTTTTATATGCTGCGAACAGGAACACACGGCAACTTTTGTGTGTTCCATGCAAACATTTTAAGGTTTGCCAGCAATGTTTTCAATATATTAAAGAGCATGCATATAAAGTTCATACAAAAGCTCTATGTCCAATTTGCCGAGCAGTTATTAAAGACGCTTTCCATATATTTTGTAGACTTTTCATAGGTAAAAATATTTTGTGAACATTACTTTCTATATGAATTTTATCACATTTTTTGTTTAATTGTATTGTTGGAAAAAACAAAGTTCTTTTTCCCTCTGGCAGTACTCTGTTTTTGTTACAAATAGTATAAATAAGCAATGGGAAATAAGGCAAAATTTGTTTTCTTTCCAACCTTTGGTTGAAATAAAGCAAAACTCAGATTTTGCTATTATTTCCCATTTAAAAGTGAAATAAAGCAAA